TGGAAAATAAAGGTGTAGTGAAACAGGAGTAGGCAAGTATATGGTTATATAACCACTTGACCGGTCTTACCGCTTTGCCTGTCCTCATTTCCTTCCGCTCCCACCTTTCGTATTCAATGTTCCAAAGGTTTACTTGTAGCCAGTATAATGACTTGTGGAAAGGAGGCCCACACCCCTATTCCATCATTCCAGAGTCAGTACATTTTGTTCCACGGCAATACTACCGTTGAAGGAAGTTCGCCAAATCTGTGACTCGTCCATCGAATCCATCGACTAATTTGAAGGGTAAAACTTCCAACTTCATGTTTTTCGGGGAAAAACTATTCTGATTGAGCTACTGACCGTAACTGCTCCAATTTCTGTTCTTTCTTTCTGCCTAGTGTTCCCATCATTCCTTTCCGATCGCTGTCAGTTGAACGTGATCGTTCATCTCTGAGATTCATTGTTGAACCACGACCGTCCATTTCCGTTTCGCGAACCTGAATATTTCCTATAAATGGTAGTAAAACTCAATCGAAAATATTTTTGGTCATTCTTCTTGCTTCATATTCTTCTTTAAATGCCCAGTTTATCTCTGAATCAGGGCAATAACTCGAAGTGACAAGCACCAATATCTCATACGGTGCCTTAGCTATTTGTCACATCACTTCACCAAATCTCCCAAACCCTAGCTACAGCAGATTATAAAGAGATGTAGATTTGACAAATCCTCTGACAAGTACAAGCTGGGGAACTTCTGGAATTTCACATCTAAGCAGGCGAATTTTATTGATTGGCTATTCTGAAGCTGAACGAAATCGATAGCGATTGATTAGGTCCACCTATAGGCAACAAGCCAAATAGTTTTACAGGCAAATGGCCAAAAACCATCCAGGTTGCAGGTTTATTGAATCAAAACACCTTTCAAGGCTTTGTAAACTTGCCACTCTGAACATGACTTACTGGTGTTCTATGACTCTAACTTTATTTTGGTTTGTACGGTAGGTACATAGAAGGTACTGTAGGCAATCGATGGCACTCACCAAGCTATATTCTTCGTAGTTTGAGATTCCGATTTTCGTACACACCCCGACCATTAGTTG